TTTCACCATGTTGGCCAGGCTGGAATCGAACTCCTGACCTCAGGTGATCCACCCACCTTGGCCTTCCAAATTGCTGGGATTAGAGGCATGAGCCACTATGCCCAGTCACAGAAAGTTTTCAGTTCAATTTGTGAACACGTAAATGTCACGTCAGGTATGCTGTACGTGATGGACTGGGCATCTGCTGACTGCAGTACAAATACAGGCAGTTGGTTGTGTAACTCTGTATTAATCGATAAATGGCAGCACACTGTTGGCAAATACCCACAATGTGGGGTGGCTACCTGTACAACAATTTCACCAAGTCCTTGGCTAAAGCAATGACAGACAGCTGGAATGTAGACTAAGTAGCTACATGTGGGTGCCTACCTCTCCCCATGTGGATCGTCATAGGCATGTGGCACCCATGCCTGGCCCTACTTGCCATTCAATTGGACTGGCAGGTGCACCTGGTGGCATCCTGAATGGCTAGAGTATAAAGTGCCCCATTTAGACACAACCCTCAATTATTGGGAAACGGTAGAAGCTAGACATCACCAGAAACATGCATCCTGGTGGTGCTACCCTTTGGCCATGTTTACGTCTAAAGTGGCAACCGTAATTGCAAAGTGGCAATTGACGCCCTGGCTAAACACGTGACTGCAGCCTTCAATGATACTCATCATCCTTTTATTCTTCTCAATGAAGAAACCACCCAGTCAGGCGTGTTCTTCTGCAAAATTGTGTGATCCAGGACATAACCTGAAACCATATACCTGCTGCCCAGGGTGGAACTTGCGCATTAATTAAAACAAAATGTTGTGTATATCGCCCTCATTACTCTCATAACATAACACAGGCTCTGCTGGCATTAGATACCCAGAGTCCAGCCATTGGAGAAGCTGTGTATCTAGTGTAATTGCAATTGTGTTCACAATCCTTTGTTGCACTTATATTGCTGCTGGGTTGCTTGGCAGCAATGCTCTTCCACAAAGCTGGCCCCAGGGAAACAACAGAAAAACAGTGTGGTGAGAATTTGAGGGCCATTCAAAGGTATGCTGGGGTGGAGCGCAAGTTTGGCGTGTCCTGTCAGGCAGCTATAACTCAAGCATCTTCTGAGAATGACTGCACATTCCTTGGTGAATTTTTGTTCGGGGTTCCCGGCTGAACAAAAAGGCTAATCCAGATGTTTATCTCATACCTATGGAGAACACTCCCAGTACTTGGGAGGCTGAGGCAGGCAGATCACGAGGTCAGGAGTTACAGAACAGACTGACCAACATGGTGAAACCCCATCTCTACTAAAAATACAAAAATTGGCCAGGGGTGGTAGTGCACACTGTAATTCGAGCTACTCAGAAGGCTGCGGCAGGAGAATCATGTGAACCTGGGATGCGGAGGTGGCAGTGAACTGAGATCGTGCCATTGCATTCCAGCCTTGGCGACAGAGTGAGACTCCGTCTAAAAAAAGAAAAAGATAAAGAAAAAGAAAAAAAGAACACTTCGGCCCTGGCACATTCCTTGGATGAGAGGTCATGCAAGGAACCAAGCTCTTTTGTTTTGGGCTAGGTGAAGGTTTCCTGGCAGAGGTTGCTAAGTGGAGGTTGCTCTGGGAAAAATATCATATAACCTGCATGCATTTGACAAACAGGAGGGGATTTCTTGTCTCGCCTGCTGCTCCTGGGCTCCCTGTACGTAAGTTCCCTGAATAAAGGTTATGTCTCGCCTGCTGTCTCCAGGTCTTTTCTTCTGTCTCTTCAAGGCTGTGCCCTCTCAGCTCACTAGCACAGGGGTCCAGCATGACAAATATAAAATGGTGTTTAACATTCTCTGGGTTATATTTATGTAAATGTGTTATTAATATGTGTTCCAACATCCTATGAGATTTCTATAAGTCTAAGATGTCTTAGCATATGTGATCAGAAGTAATTATGAATCTTAAGTGGTTATATGCCACAGGAATAACCTAATTTCCTTGTCAATTGTGTCTTTACCAATGCTGTTTTAATACTTTTGTTATCTGCAAGAAGTGTTTTACTTTACTTCTAAAAAACCAATTTCTGATCAGTTAGAGACCTGTCTCTTATACACATCTAGATGTGTATAAGAGACAGGTGTGAACCCGGAAGGCAGAGCTTGCAGTGAGCCAAGATGGTGCCACTGCACTCTAGCCTGGGTGACAGCGACACTCCGCTCTGTCTGAAACGACTGAAAATAAATTTCAGTCCTTTATTAATTCTTTTGCCTATAGAGTTCCTTTACAGGGTTCCTGAACTGTGGTAAATAAAGAAAAGCACTTTCTAACAGGCCCGGGAAGCCCAAGTGATCATGGAGCCTCGAAAAGAAAGGAACTCATCCAATTCATACAGGTATCTGCAGGCAAACATAAATTCATGGCTGAGCTCAAGATTATAAAAGCCCTACTCTGAGATGGCTTATGAATATGAAAATGGTTAAGCAAAGTCAAATTTTAAAAAAGACTCCATATGCCACGTAATTATTCTTCTGTACTTTATGCAAATAATCAAGTCACGTATTATAAGACCAAAACTTATTTTGCAAATAAATTCATCCTAGTCTGATTTGTCTTTGGTAGAAATAGAGGACTAGAGAGAGAAAAGGTGTCTTTTAAAAGAAACTATGAAACATCTGTTATGAGATTCTAGCTTTGTCCATTGTTTTCCAGCTTTATTATTTGTCTACAATTTATCTGGACTAGATATTGAATTCTTTCCTGGCTACAAGTCTCCAAGCTAACATTTTCCTTTTGTTTTTCTCTCATTTTTCTGACTTGGCATCACCAGAAATGAAAACTGTCCTTTTACTAAGCCCTGCAAACGGAAGACAGAATACTTTGTGTTACAGAATTCAGACCAACGCCGTGACTGGAGATTCATTTGCTTCTACACTGTTTTCTCCAAAAGATGTTGAAGAACAAAGAGAAAATGTGAAAGGAAAAATCAAATCTCGGGGCCCCAAACTCACTATGCCAGTGCAGCCAGTTAAGCTTGGAAACAGAGCCACTCCAAAATCTGCCTTTGTTTTGGTTTCTAAACAGATATTTGCAAAGATGGAAGGCAACATATATCCCAGTTGGCCTGCCTCACAAATTCCTCACAAGGAAAATCCCTGTAAGTCCCCAAATTTTTACCCTGAGACAGACTTTGTATAATTTCACTGTGACAATGCAAGTTGGCAACTTATCTGGACTGGTACATAACGATGACAAGACTGGAAATGACCCTTCTGCCCACCCTCAGACAAACGCACATATGCCTACTTCCTCTAGTTTCTGTTTATTTTTATCTAATAGAAAATGTAGATTAACTGTGCACGAGATGAATGAATAATGGACTGTTCCTCTAACCCCCTTTCACGTGGAACCTGTGGATTCAGGGAGGGTCAATCAAAGCCTCATAAAAATGTGAGCACTCAGTTCATTACCTATCCTGTCTTTTTTCCTTTCCTCCTACCACTCCTGCCTGATTTTACACATTTAAATGTTGAAGCCCTCAGAAGGCCCTGTGAATAGTGAGTGGGCCCCAGATCCTCCTGTGACTTGTGTGTCTTTTTCCTGGGTGCATCCTTAACCTTGGCAGAGTAAACCTCTAAACTGACTGAGATGTGTCTTAGACCCTCTTTGGTTTACAAGTCTTGCCTCCTCCCTGAGTTGCTGGATGAAAGCAACTTCCTCTCTTCTTGCCTCAGTTTCCTCATCTGAAAACTCAGATCATAATCCTGGCCCATTGAGGGGATGATTATAAAATTCAATCAAATGGAGAAGTATTTGCAAATGGAATGTATTGCAAAGTATATTGTGCAGTCCCTGTGTAATCACCTTTCTATTCCTCCCTCAGAAACTGGTGTGTGTGTGTGTGTGTGTGTGTGTGTGTGTGTGTGTGGGTGTGTGGGTGGGAGGAGGTGGCCACGATGTCCCCAGAGATGTTTGCTGAGGATGAAATAGGCTTCCATGGAAGGGTCAGGTTGGCTTCTGTGGTTTAGCTGCCTCTGAGGCCCTTCTGCCTGGGGCAAAGCACGAAAGTCCAGCAGAATCTGGTTGCCTGACTTCTTAGCCATGGACGTGTGGTGAGCAGTGGTCTCTAGTCCCTCCACCCAGTGTGCCTCGGGAGTGGAACATGGGGCGATGGCCTTTGCTGGGGAGGATGCTGGGGGTTCTCTGAAAGAAGGCAATGCCTGATTTTGTCATTGAAGGGAGACATGGCTGGGGGACCCCAGAAGGAAGGTTTGTGTTGGGGGTGCCTGTCTCTTTGGGAAATTTGAAGGAATCAGAGAAGGTGGAGGTGGGGACGATTTTTCCAGATGGTGGAAGCAGGTGCTCCTGGCAGAAGATCCCACATAAGCAAATGTGTAAAAGCCACAAGGCATGGCCTTCAACAAGAGCAGGCCTGGGGCGGTGGCTCATGCCAAGGTGGGAGGCTCACTTGAGGCCTGGAGTTCAAGAGTAGCCCAGTCAATATAGTGATACACCATCTCTAATATAATTTTCTTTAAAAATTAGCTGGGTGGTTGACTGACGGCTGTAGAACCAGCTACTCAGGAGGCTGAGGTAGGAGGATGGCTTGAGCCCAGGAGTTGGAAGCTGTAGTGCACTGATTGTGGCACTGCACTTCAGCTTTGGCTACAGAGTGAAACTCTGTCTCAAAAACATAAACAAAATAACCCCCAACAGCATTACAACAAATATACAATAAGCATCCACTTGGTATGTGTGGGAGATTGTGCAAATGCTGGTGGCACAGGCGGGAGGAAGGCAGGCATCTGGGGAGTGTGGGTGCTCGGGAGGACGGGGAGTAATCTGGAGGGTCTCACAGTCTGTCAGTGGCAGGTCTTTCTTCCTGAGACCATAGCAGACCCCCAACCCTGAGGATGCGAGGCAGGTGGGTTGGATGAAAGAGACCTGGATGTCTGGTCTGGGGCTGCTTCTGTAAGTGCAACAGCAAGGAGGCTGGGTCTGGACTGAAGGTGGTGCTGGTAAGCAGCCTGTTTGCTACACTTGATCACCAGCTGCTGGGAAGTTGTGAATTTCCCTTTCCCTTTCGAATTCCTGGGTATATCTTAGGGGTGGGAGGACGTGTCTGTTTATTACACAGATGCATAACTGGAGGTGGGATCCACACAGCTCAGAACAGCTGGATCTTGCTCAGTCTCTGTCAGGGAAGATTCCTCGGTAAGTCGGGGACCATTGACCTGTCCCCATCTCCTTATTCTCACAATAGCTCCATGAGGGAAGGATCATTCCGCTTTTGTGGATAAGCTCAGAGAGGTTAGTAACTGGTTCAGATCAGACAGGAAAGCAGTGGCAGAGCCGGGATTTGCACCCAGGCTTGAGTCTGATGCTCCCTCCCTCCTGCTGTGCCCTTAAACAGTAGAGAGAGGCCGGGAAACAGCTCAGATGGGTTCACAAAGCTCCCTGGGTTCAGCTCTGGTTTAGACTGCGGAGACATGGCTGGCGGATCCCAGAAGGAAGGTTTGTGTTGGGGATGCCTGTCTCTTTGGGAAATTTGAAGGAATCAGAGAAGGTGGAGGTGGGGACGTGACCTGGAGTCCGGCCTGTCCTTGTGGCGTGGCCACACCCAGGGTGGCCCCAGGGTGCTGCTGCTGAGGCCCGATGGGGAAAGAGATTTATTTTGAGATACAAGGAACCTAGAGGTCATCTCACCCCACTTGAGTCTGAGCACCAACTTGTTCCAGGCCCTGTGGGGAAACTGAGGCCCTGGGAGGGGAGCGACTTGCCGAGGGTCCAGTGTCAGGAGGTTGAGCAGGTAGCTCATAGGACTCCACATCACTGGCCCTCACCTCTGTCCCTCTGTTCAGACCTCTGGGGGGATGGAGAAGAAACAGGCTGTGCTGTGTCCCTAATGGGAAACATGGCTGAGACAGGGGAGTGAGAAGAGCGCCTTGCAGAATGGTGCCTGTGGCGTGATGCCAGCTTTGCAATCATGAGATTCAAAAGCCACACTGGGGAACTGTGATCATAACCACAGGAGTGTGAGCTTAGATCTCTGTGTTTGTAGAAGTAGAATCAAACCTGGACATTTTTGGATTACTAAAATCACCCATTTTTGCTTCAATATCAGAGTCACAAGGCCAGATGTTGGCCTCCCCTCTGCCCTCCAAGAGCTGTGTGACTCTGGGCAAGTCACCTCCCCTCCCAGCCTGAGATTTTCCCCTCTTGAAATCCTGATAGAGCTGCCAAAAGTACATGAAATCAGGGGGGAAATTTCTGTGAAATCTGAGTCACGGTCTTATTTGTTCTTCACCAAAAAGAGATGCTGAAGCCTGTAACCCCAGTGCTGTGGGAGGCAGAAGTGGGAGGATCACTTGAGGCCAGGAGTTCAAGACAGCCTGGGCAACACAGGAGATGCTGTGTCTATAAAATCAAAAATGAACAAATTAGCCCAGCATGGTGGCGTGCACCTGTAGTCCCAGCTACTCAGGAGGTTGAAGGAGGAGGATCACTTGAGCCCAGGAGCTCTAGGCTGCAACGAGCTATGATGGCACCGAAGCCCTGCAGCCTGGGCGACAGAGCACAACCATTTCTCAAAAATGAAATGAAAATGGTGATTTCTCAGGAGGAGCACACGTCTCAACTCCTCTTTTCCCGCCCAAGGAGGAGGCCCTGGAGCCCGTGACATGGAGGGAGCCTGTTTGCTGGGACTCTTTGTCCTCTGCATCTGGTGAGCTTGGCTCAGAGCCCTGAGGCAAGATGGAAGGCTCCCTGTCTGGGCTGCACAATTGAGGAGGGCTTGGGCTGGGCCAGGCGCCATCTGGGCTTTTTCTAGGAACCAAAGTCACTTCCTGGAATTGACCAACTGGCAGACTCGCCCAGGGAGGACACATTGTGTCCTACTTGAGGCTAACAGTCAGTATCTAGCCTCAACATTCAGTAGAGGCCCCAGATCAGGGTCTGAGCCAGGCCAACAATGACCAAGGAGGATGGGATCCTGGGTGCAGCTCTTCACAAGTGTTGGGCGAGTCTGAGGCCGCAGCTCTCTCTGCCCTCCTGCTCCTCTGCTCTCTCTTGGTCCTCCTGGTCCTCATGGCTCATGGTGTTGAGATGGCTATCCTGGCCTAAGGGGTCTCACAGTGAACAAAGCAGGAACAAGGGGAAGGGATGCCCCTCTCCTGTCACCCCTGTCCCTTACAGCAAGAAGTGCCCAGATGCCCCTCTGCGTACTCCGTTGGTGAACTGCTGCCCAGGACTGGGTCCCCCTTTTACGCTTGCTGCATGGGGGGCCCCAGAAGACAGACGTCTGTGTGTCTGAACCCTGGGATAAAGGCAGGAAGGGGAAAGAGGGAGGCGAGTGGCTTTTGAGGAGGGGGCTTTTGTATGAGAGCTGGAGGATGGAACCCCATCAGGGGGCCCGGAAACCACTGAGCTTTTAAAATAAAAGCTGCAAACAAAGACCAGCTGCTGGAAGTGGGCACGCCAGGGAGTGAGCAGAGACACAGGGTGGAAAGAGAAATGGTAATGCCTGGAGCCACCCGTGACTGTGATGGGCCTGATGCCGTATTATTATTATTAATTATAGTATCATTATTAGCCATTTTCATCTTATTTGTACCCTCCCTCTATCTCTCCTCTCCACCTTTTCCTAACATTGTATCACCAGTTTTATGCCTTCCATTAGCAACTTTGTAGCTGTAAACAATTTACTTACAACTTTCTTATATCGTCAGTTGTACCCAGTATTTCTTAACTTCCCTCTTTAAAAAATGACAATATTAATCCTCCTTCTGCTTCGTACAGTGTTTCACATCCCAACTGCTACCTTTGTGCTTTAAATTTTGTACTAATTGGTATTGGTAACAAGTATGTTTAGTTCTCAAGTTTACATGTTGTGTACATATTTTTTGTCCTAAAGAAGAGACTACTGAGAGCCAGTGAGACTGAAAGAATGGGCATCTTCATGCACTGCTAGTTTGAGTGTGAATTGGTACAATTTGCATGCAGTGTGGCTCTAGGTATAAAACATTTTGAGATGTTGATAGCCTCTGACCTAGTCATTCTACTCCTACGAACATCTTAAGGAAATAAAATCAAATGTGGGCAGTTTTACTTGAAGGAGGATGTTCTTTGTAGCATAATTTACATGAAGAATTAGAAACACCCTATGTCCATCAGCCAGGGAGGACAGCAGAGGGGACAGGGCAGCACCTGGAGGGCTCGGCAGCCACAGCAGGAGCTGGGCCGGCATCTGGCAGGATCCAGGTCTTTGTGGGACAAAGGACCTTAGAGAAGCAATGGGGACACAGGCTGTCCACTGCAGCAGCAGTGAATTCACCAAGACGAAGAGTTGAGCACAGACTGTGAGACACGGATTTGCAATGAGGAGTCATTTCCCATGAGCGTGAATACATGACTCAATATTGTATATTGAAGGGAGTAGAGCACAGTCATTGAAGACATGGGATTGAAGCAGAAGTCCTGGCTCTAGCACTATTGTGAAAACACGGGCAGGTTCCCTAACTTTTGTGGATTCCTCTGTGTTTGAATGGGAAGGTGGTACCCATCTCCCGGGCTGTGTGTGATCATCGAATGAGACACGTGTAAGGAGCCCTGCACATCACAGGCTAGGCGCGGTGGCTCACACCTGTAATCCCAGCACTTTGGGAGGCCAAGGCGGGCAGATCATGAGGTCAGAGATCGAGACCCTTCTGGCTAACACGGTGAAACTCTGTTTCTACTAAAAATATAAAAAATTAGCCGGGTGTGGTGGTGGGCACCTGTAGTCCCAGCTGCTCGGGAGGCTGAGGCAGGAGAATGGCATGAACCCAGGAGGCGGAGCTTGCAGTGAGCTGAGATTGCGCCACTGCACTCTACCTGGGTGACAGAGCGAGAATCCGTCTCAAGAAAAACAAATAAATAAAAATTTAAAAAGAAGCCCTGCACATCACAGACACGCAATACACACTGGCTATCATCAACTAGTTATCACACATGTTCCCAGGCCCAGGTCATTGTCAGAACCTTCCTCCCCATCTCTATTCCTGTGTATAGACTCCATAGTTTCTGTAATGATCAGATGGCTGCCCCTCCTCTGATTATCTTCTCTTCATTCTCCAACAGGACAAGCGGACTTTTCCTTGCTGTGGGAGTGAGGGCAGAGGGAGCTGGAGGGAGTTAAGTGTCTGTAAACAGCAGATGATGGGGACTCGATGATAGAGAAACAATCTGGGTTAGGTTGGTCTTGGCATTTGCTGCCACCTCAGAGGGATCTGCAGAGCCCCGACTACTCAAGCCTCCCTCTGTCCACAGGTGCCTCACAGTCAATCCCACAATTTGTTTTCTCCTCCTCAAGGACGCAGCAAAACCATCCAGGCAGGACAATGGCTGGACAGTTCCATGGTAAGCCTCTCAGTGACCTGGCTGCTGGTAAGCTTGCCTCCTCTTCCCTGGCTGTTTCGTATCCACAGCTACAATGGAGGGTGGTGTCTCCAAGGCTGAGTGAGCCCCAACAGAGCCCAGATGGAGGTGGCCGATGAGTCTGCCCTGAGCCCAAAGAGAGGCCATGTGGAGTCCCCCAAACCAGGGGTCTGGGGGGCATCTGCATCCTGACCTCTCCTCAGGGGGGGTATGGCCCAGGTGCCCACCTCCTCCCTACCCTGGCACCTAGCAAATGACTCAAGTGGGGCAGGACGGCCTTGGGGAAGGGGAAACAGCAGGGTTGGGCTTTGCGGAGGGAGAGCAGGGACCAGAAGTAGGGGAGAGGTGGGAGAGGAGGTTGACCAGCAGCCCTGACCTCTTACCTCCTACTCTGCTCCTGGCTGACCCTAGGGTGTTTCCAGGAGAGGCTGGTCCCCTTTCTCCAGCTCTTGCCCCGCACCAGTCCGTCTGCTTTGAGTGGCCCTGTGGGTAGAGTGATCCAGCTTTCCACTGAACTGGACCCCATTGTGGTCTTGGCCATGTGCCCTCTGTGTGACCTGGAGCTCCTTAGTCGTCCTCAACTGCACCACCAGGATATTTGCCCACGTTGTCATGAGGATCAAACATTACATGGGTACCTGGACCAGCCAGTGCCTGCCACAAACTACGGCCTCCCTAAGAGCTGGTTCCCATCCCCTCCACCTGACCCCTGTTGATTCTAAGGGGAAACCATCCCCTTCCCGAGCTGTGTTAGGGGCACCTGCCCTGCACTGCTCATCACAAGCACCTCTTTACCAGGGCTGAGTCCAATCATCTAACATACCCCTTGTCAAAGAAACATCTGAGGCACAATAACATTTATCTGAATAAGAGGGAGTTCATGAATTGAGAAAACCAAACTGGAGGAGGTTTCATGTTATGATGAAAAAGTGTGGGAGACAAGTGTGTATCGGGTGAATATGGAAGTGCAATAAGGACATTATTTGATTAGTTCCAGTTATAAAACTTCTTGTTTTGGTTTACCTTGTTGGAAAATTCCTGGTCACATTGATGCCGGTGGGTTTAGGGAGGTCTCTGAATGCAGGTGAGACCAGACCTTAGCCTTGTCCAGTTTCTGACACCGAAGAGAGAAAAAATTTGAGTCAAAGCCAAAGCAAATCAGTTTTTATTGCAAAGCGGAAGCGCAGGCTCGGGGGTGGGAGTGCAGGCGGACTCAGAAGAGCCAGTCGGGCCCAGTGGGGTTTGGTGTTTTTGTTTTTGTGGGTTTACTAAGCTAATGGGCAGAGTAAGCATAAGGATCTATGGGAAGAGGAAGAGATTTCTTGGAACTGGGGGGCCACGCAGTTTTGTAGCAAGCATGGAACTGCTGTGGCGCGGGTGGGTATGGGACAAGGAGGGTATGATTGAGTCTGGGGTGAAAAGTGGGTCAGACCCAGCGCCGAAGTAGATCTTACTGGTCTTAGCCGGATCGGCCACTTCCTGTTTGTCAGGGTCCTGTGGGCCCGTCGCCTCCCCCTGTCCCTGCAGCTGGTTTCAGCAGCTCCTTCTGTGTCCGCCATGGGAACCAGCTGCCTGGAGTTCTTGTTTCCTCTGTGACCTCCCAGTATTCCCATCTCAGCATGGCCCTCTGTCAGCTGGCTGCTTGTGACTGGCCGAGGTTAAGTTTTGTTTGTGTCTAACAGAAGCGCCCATCTGATGTGACCCCAGTTCAGTTTCCCACAGCTTGCAGTTTAAGCGGGGATTACAGCCGTTCTCAAGGTCTGGTTGGTTTTGTTTGCCCAGGACTGTTTCAGGCTTGGTTTTTATTTTAATTTTGCTTTAATATTCACCATCCCCACCCCATCAATAAAACACAAATTTAGTGCTGGAGGTTCCTTCCATCCAACCCTGGGTTTCCTTCCTCCTTTTGGTGAAGAAGGAAAGAGAAAAAACAAGACAGGCCCTCGCCCAGCCGAGTGAGCACTGCGTTCATTTCCCTAAGCCCCATTTCCTCAGGACGACTTCCTCCCCTTACAGAGTTGCAGTGGCAACCAAGTCAGCCCTGCTCAGGAGCCGCCCTGGACAGCAAACCGGCCCGTGCTGAGTCCTGTCCAAGACCAGGGGAGGGTGGAGAAGATTAGAAGCCAGGAGCTCCCAGCCGACCCTGGAATCCTTAGGAAGGGCTGGGCTGGGGGCCAAGGAAGAAACTCTCCCTCCGAAACAAGATGATCTCTGGTTTAATAACGGGGCCAGCTGGGCTCAGAGGTGATAGTGGGGAGCCGTGTACCCTGAGACCAGCCTGCAGGGGACAGAGGCAACACAGAGGGGCCACAAGGATCAGTGCTGAGGGTCCCGCCCCCCTGCCCCCCTAAAGAACCCCTTCCACTGCCCGCCTGAGAGCGCCCATGACCCGCAGGAGGAATAAAATGTTTAAAATAAAATGTTTAAATAAATAAAATGTTTAAATTCTGTGCAAATAAAATGTTTAAAGCCCCACAGGTATACTACAGGGGAGAATGCAAATAAAATGTTTAAAACTCCACAGGTATACTACAGGGGAGAATGCAGAAACCACAGGCATTTAAAAAATCATATGGAGTCTTCAAAGCAATGGCAAGGGAACGCTGGCCTGGGAGTCACATCCTGAGCTTCCTGCTTGCCGGGTTGAGAGGTGTCTCTCACTGTCTGGGTCTCAATTTCTCCTTCCGTGAAATGAGAATGAGGCCTTGCAAGTGCCTCCAGGGCAGGAAACAATTTTACATCATGCCCCAGTGCATACATAAATACATACTGCTTCCCAGTCCCTTCTCTGCAGTTCCGTTATTCCTAAATCCCTGCAAACCACACATTTTTTGGGCAACTCATCTGGGCAGTAATCCTGCTGTGTACTAAGATGCTTTGTAGCGGTAATATTATGTATCTCATTTAAGGTGAATATTCATTGGTTTCTCTGTTGAAACATTCGTACCTTTGATTACAAGGTTAAAACATTTGTATCGTTGATCACTCTGGGAGTGGGCAGTGATACAGCGTATGCACCCTGTGTCACTTCTAAAAGAGTGAAAATGCTGCCATGCTAAACACATCCAGATCCCAGAAATACACACACACACACACACACACACACACAATATCTTACAAAAGAATACTCACTCTTGCTATGTTCAATACACTCTGATATTTTCAATGCTCTTTTCTTTTTAAAATGCTGCTTTTGACACAATGAACTATTGTAATAACCCACTGATGGGTCGAAACTCAGATTTTGAAGACACTGGTTTAAAGTGTTTGACAATAGGCACACAGCAGAAGGAAGCGATCTTGGAAGATTTCCCTTACATGGGGAGAAAACGTGGTGGAAAGCTCTTACTTTCTGGTGATTCTCAGCTGAAATAGATGGGTTGCTCCACAAAGCACCGTGCCACTTTCCTGCTGAATCACTCTTCTCAGGATGCCTCAGTAAAATGCCACAGGCTGGGTGGCTTCAACAACTGACTTATTTTCTCACAGTTCTGGAGGCAAGAAGTCCAAGGTGAAGGTGCCAGCAGGGTTGATGTCTGGGGAGGGCTCTGCTCCTGGCTTGCAGAGGCTGCCTCAGTGCTGTGTCCTCACATGGCCTTCCCAGTGTGTGTGTGTGTGTGTGTGTGTGTGTGTGAGAGAGAGAGAGAGAGAGAGAGAGATCCTCTGTCTCTTTTTTTCTTTTAATTGGACACCAGTCCTATAGGATTAGGGCCCTATCCTTATGACTGCCTTTAAATTAATGACTTCCTTAAAGGCTCGATCTCCAAATATAGTCACTGGAGTTTAGGGCCTCAGTATATGAATTTGGGGGGCACACAATTCACTCTATAGCACTGGTGCCTCCATCAAAACTACCCCATGTGACAGCTGGTCAGGAGGATTAACATCGAACCACCTTATATTCAATGCCATTTATGTGGTAGAACACTTTCCTCCTGTCTTATCCTTTTTGTTTCCAACTAGAAAAGAAATGCTTCACTGAAGAAGTCACTGAATACTTCCAGAAGAATGTTAGCCCAGAGCATCTGAAAATCCTGCTGACTGATGATGAGGCCTGGAAGAGATTCGTAGCTGTGGCTGAATTGCCCAGGTAACCTCCATGGGGCGCCCCAGTGATGCCACCCAGGTCTCCCCTGGGCTAGTTTTCTCTGGCAGGCACACCTCCTCCAGGCAGCTCCTTCTGCTGGGCTTGAGGACATCCCTCTCAGCAGCCCAGAAGGAATATTTCCTCCATGTCCTTTGCTGGCAGTGAGTGGCCTCAGGCTGAGGGGAGAGGAAGCCCAGAAGGGCAGGGTCAGTTCTGCCATCTACTGGTGATGGGAGCTTTGCAATCTACTTGACTACTTTCTGCTTTCCTTTCTTCATCCATTGAGCTTTATTGTGAGAAAAATAAGATAATGCATGTAAAGTATTTAGCATAATGACTGACACATGGTAGGTGCTCAGTTCATGTTACCTTTTACAAAACTTCCTGGGAAGAGATCAGAGCCAAAAGTCTTTTTCTTAGAGATGGAAGCCCAGCAGGACTTTCTTTGGGAAAAGTCAGAAAAATCTTGACCTGATCAGTGTGTGTTCCTGGAGATGCTATCTGGGGCCCTTTTCCTGTACCTCTGAGGAACTGCACAAACACAGCAGAATCCTTCTGCTGACCCAGGACACAGAGAGGCTGGAATGGAGTTGGACAGAGCTGGGATGGATCCCGGCTCTGTCCCTGCACAGCTCCGGGGCTCTTGGCTTAAGTCTTAGAGACTGGGACCTGTCATCCGTCCAATGCTATTAGTAATTCAATCAGATGGGAGTGTGGTGAAGGCCTTAGAATGAACTCCAGGTCAAAGGCGGGGAACCAAATAGCATGATGCCACCCAAAGACCCAAAGAGACCTTGCCAAGGGCAGAGCCAGGGGTCAGGGTGGGGCAGGGGTGGGCCTAGATTGGAGGAGCAGTAGGAAGGCTGGGGCATCAAGGCCAGGAGGGGGGTGAGAGGAGGGAGGCACTGAGAGCATGAAATGTAACACGGTCATGGACTTGCAGAGGACACGTGAGTGGGAGAGGGATATTTCTTCCCTCCCTGATTTGATCCCATCACTGATGGGCATAGTGGGCCATGGGTGACTATTTCCCCCACACCATGCCTGGGAACTGGGGAGTTCTGGGCTGCCGTTTGAAACCCTCTTGTGTTCTACATAGAGTAGAGGCAGTGTTTCTTCAGGCCAACTTCCAGACTGGGGACGAGTAGATTCAACTGGTGTAATTTGAAGGGTCCTTGGGAGACTCACAAGTCCCCAACCAAAGAGAAAAACACTTTCTTTACCATCTTGTCCAAATGTAGGTCTTTTCAGCATTAGCAATTTATAGAGATGATTTTCAAAGTCTCATGAGTCCTCAAGAGGTTCCATGAAATTGTACATGGCCTTGACATGCACACAAGTGAAGCTGTCACCTGCTAAGGCATTAGTTTGGCTGGTGACATGTGAAAGTGAGACCCCGAAGTTTGGAGGTGCCAGGTCAGGAGGCAGTAAGGTGGCTTGAGAGTTTGCATGGAGCCAAGACTAACAGCGAGGTCTTTCACTTTTCAGTCATAGGGGGCAGTGGCTGGACCCAGTGGCCTTCAGTCAGAAAGTCAAAGGGCATGAGGCATTGGAAGAGATAACATGCGAGGCAAATTGATGTCTTCTAGTCTAAGGTTGTGTTTGAATTCTTAAGGACTCAGATTTAGATGAACTGCAACGTTTGAGTGCACCCTTCCTTCTGACATCAGTTGCAAACTTGAGGGGCTTTCTTAAGCCCCCCTCGGGTTGGGTAATTCACTACAAGGACTCGCGTAACTCACTGAAAACTGTTATTGCATGATTGTGATTTATCATAGGGAAAGAACACAGATTAAAATCAGCCTAAGGAAGAGACACACAGGGCACAGTCTGGGAGGGCTTCAGGTGTGAAGCTTCATTGTCCTCAGGACGCTGTGATCTCCTGTGTCAATGTGGGACAAAACACATGGGGTGTTGCCAACCAGGGAAGTTCACCCAGTTAAGGAAAAATTCCTGTGAACCACATTAAATCAGGAAGGAAGCCTTTATTCAGGATTGTTGTTACAGGGGAGAGAGACTGAGCCCAGCTCCGAATACAGTAAAGACGGGGGTCGGGGGGGCCGGGGGGGAGTCACAGCCAACACCAGGGTGAGAGGCGGCAGATGGAACAGGACTGACAAGAGACACCAGAGTTGGGGGTTTCTGCTAAACTGGACTAACAGGATGCTCAACTAAAGGCAGCTCAGACACTCACCCATCAAATGAATGGGTGAAGACTGTAATCGGAGAGCAAGTGTCCTCAGACAGCAAGTGGGGAGGATCCTCTGCAAATTGACTTTGGGGGATTCTTGCTGAGCTGGGGCGGTGCAGGCCCAGCAAGCACAGGATGGGCGTGGAAAGCCAAGGTCAATGCCTAGAGGAGAAGAGGCTCAGAACAGCCTGGCTGGAGTTTGGCCAAGGAGTAAGTCTTTCTCAGCTCATGACTCAATGCAGAGCTCTTCCTGGGACTGGATCACAAGCTGCCCTCATGGCTGACATGGAGTCTCCAATCCCTTCCCAAGGTCTAACCCCTTTAGTCCCCAGTTCTTCTGGAGGGCAGATGAGACACTTAATAGCCCCAAACCCCCATCACCCATCACATTGCTATACTGGCCTGTAGCCAAACCACCGGGGAAACAAACACGTTCCTACCAGTCAGGACATTCCAGGGCCCCAGAGATCACTTCCCAGGGGCCGAGGACAAAGGGACGAGCTCTCTTCTGTTCAAGTTAATTCTTCACTGTTCTATGATCCTCTGAATGAAGGTCTTTTTGCTCTGAACCCACTTCTCTTTGTTCATCTACAAAGTTTCCCCTTTCCACACACTCTGGTAGTGATGGCATCGACCTCCCTCGCATGAGGAGCCATCTTTATCAAACACATAGGCACTAAGGAGTATCTGAAGATGACTTTAACTTATTTTTTCCCATACTGAATAAGTACTGTGGCGTATCTAAGTTGTATAAAACTTATTTAACCTTGAAAATAATAATAATAATAATTATTATTATTATTATTATTATTCGAGATGGTGTCTCGCTCTATCGCTCAGGCTGGAGTGCAGTGGCCTGATCTCAGCTCACTGCAAGCTCCGCCTCCCTGGTTCACGCCATTCTCCCACCTCAGCCTCCCAAGTAGCTGGGACTACAGGCGCCCGCCACCACGCCCGGCTAATTTTTTTTGCATTTTTAGTAGAGATGGGGTTTCAACGTGTTAGCCAGGATGGTCTCGATCTCCTGACCTTGTGATCCACCCGCCTCAGCCTCCCAAAGTGTTGGGATTACAGGTGTGAGCCAATGCGCCTGGCCTTGAAAATAATTCTTTACCTTTTAGAACTTTATTTCCATTTGACTCATAGTAACAGCTCTGTGATTTATGTAGAACAGATCTTAGTGAGCTCATTTTACACATAAGTAAGCTGCCTTTCTTCATCATCTGTCCTTTATTGGTACAGGGACGAGGCAGATGCTCTCTATGAAGCTCTGAAGAATCTTACACCATATGCGGCTATTGAGGACAAAGACGTGCAGCAAAAAGACCAGCAGCTTAGGGAGTGGTTTTTGAAACAGTTTCCTCAACTCAGCCGGAAGATTCAGGAGTCCATAGAAAGCATTCGTGTCATTGCAAATGAGATTGAAGAGTTCCACAGAGGTTGCACTATTGCCAATGTGGTGTCCGGCTCCACTGGCACTGCCTCTGGCGTCTTGTCTGTCATTGGCTTTTTGCTGGCACCATTTACAGCAGGGCTGAGCCTGGGCGTCACTGCAGTTGGGGTAGGGCTGGGAATGGCGTCTGCTACGACTGCGATCGGCACCAGCATCGCGGAGAACACATACACGAAGTCGGCAGAACTCCGAGCCAGCAGGCTGACTGCGACCAGCCGTGACCTGTTGGAGGTATTAGGGGACACTTTGAGCGAAATCACGCCCAGCGTGCTTTCTTTTGCGCTTGATTTTGACGAAGTCACAAAAATGATTGCGAATGATGTCCGTACACTCAGGAGATCTAAAGCCACTGTTGGACGCCCTTTCAACATTAGGCGACTCGTACCTACAAATGTTATTGATAAGCTGAAAACACCTGGAGCCGCCAAACGGATGGTGAGAAAAGCAGTCCCGAAGGTCGCTTCAGGAGCCCTCCTTGTGCTGGATGTGGTCCAGCTTGTGCAAGACTCACAGCACTTGCATGAGGGGGCAAAATCCGAGTCTGCTGAGGAGCTGAGGCAGTGGGCTGAGGAACTGCAGAAGAATCTAAACGAACTCACCCAGATCTATCAGAGTCTAAAGGCAGGCTGGGCCCAGTGACCCCAGAGCAGTGCAGCCACCAGGGAAGGTGAGCCAGACACAAGCCGGGACAAAATGCAGACGTTTCTTAGGGGTATAAAGAGGACGAGGTAAAGTTTATGGAACTGAGGATTAGGAACTTTGGCGTCTGTAGTTGAGCACAGCAGGGGAGGGGTTACTCAAGATGGCAAGTTCGTCAAGGAGAAGGCAGAAACGCTGGGGCCTGGATTAAGGGAGGAGAGGGGACTGGAGACTGTGGGGAATGGGAAGAAGCAGTTTACTCTAGACTAAAGAATATATTGGGGGAGGAAGAGAGGGAGGCGCACAGGAACCAGCAATGAGAAGACCAGGTAAAGAAAGAGCTGAAAATGGAGAAAGCCAGAGTTAGAATAGTTGGATACAGGAGAAGAAATAACAGCTCCACTACAGACCCACTCTCCAGTTTGATGTCCTTCCAAGAATGGAGTCTTTCCCTGGTGATGGTCTCTCGCCCTGTCTTTCCAGCATCCACTCTCCCTTGTCCTCCCGGGAGTGTATCTGAGTCAGCCAGTGGCTTCTTGATGATGGTGGTGGTGGTTGTAGTGTGATGGGTTTCCTTTAGGTTATTGAAGGGTGTATGTCCCCTGCTTGAACTCTGAAGGCCAGGTAATGAGCCATGGCCATGGTGCCCAACTGAGGACCAGGTGTCTCTAAGAATCCAAATATCCTGGAGAGTGTCTGAGAACCAACCAAGTAAAAGTCTCATTGCTCATATACACTAGACAAAGAGCCAGAAAATTAGCTGACAAGCAGTTTAGAGATTGGGGGAGCTGTCTTGCTGAGTGCCCTGTGTGTAAGTCCTAATAAACTTAGCTACTCACCAAGCTGGACTTGTTCGAGTCATTCCCTGCTTTCGTGGCTCCTTTCCCGCTTCGGGGGCAAGTTTCTGTCTCAAGTTTGTCCGAACAGTGGTAAAGGGGATGGTGGTGATGTCAGCAGACAGCAGGAAGACTTGACGAATGTCAGCCCTGCTTGGGGCCAGGGTACACTGAGGGACTTATGACATTTCAATGAAACTCCAAATGCTATATTAGAAAAATTGTTGATGTGTGAAGAAAAATAAAAGCAAAACCAGATGCCAGGAACCAGTCAAGGAACGTCGTGGTGCATTGAGGAGATGGACCAGCCTGCAATCAAGAGACCCCACCTCTCTGAGCCTCAGTTTCCTCATCAGCTGGGAAAGGGGGGCTGGACAAGATGATATCTCAGATCCACCTGGCTCTCTCCTCTTGTGTTCTGGAGACTTGTGTTGAAACAATACTGACTGATGGCTGTGCCTTTGTGGTGCTGATGGATGGGCTCCCCTAGGCTCTGGGTACCTGACTTCTCTTCCTCATGATCCTTCTTCCAAGCTCACAGGGAGCTAGGCCTCCATGGTCCCTTCTGCTTACTCTCCTGACTGGTCATTTCTCTGTGATCCCAGTACCCAGTGGCCCCTGAGGCACTCAGGGAAACCTTGTAGACATCTGGCTTGGGTCGAGTACAGGCGTGGTCCCCATCTAGCAGCCAGGGCCCAGGATTGACATGGGTCACACGAAGCTGACTAAGATCAGAAGGGCCTGTGTGTAGGTTGAGAGAAAATCCATGAGACATAGAGGGACAGAGAGAGACAGCCAGACAGCAAACACCCTCATCCAGTCTACAAACACCCTCATCCAATCTACAAACACCCTCATCCAGGCTGCCCTCTCATTTCACCCAGAATCCTGCAAAAGCTTCCAGAAGGGTCTTCCCTGTTACACAGCCCTTGCCACTATCCCAGCCCATCCTCCACACTGGGCCAAGTTGACCCCTAAGAACATAAATTTCATCAAACACTTGCTTCCATGTCTTCAATGGCTTCCTATTACTCTTAGCACAAAAGCCCAGGGCCTTCATGCTGTCTAACGTAGGCTGCTGTGGCCTGAGTGCCCTGAAGGGAGAGTCCTAGGCGAGGCTCCCGTGCACAACATTTGTTTGCCATATGGATACCTTGTAAGAGTGGCCACCAGGGGGCAGCCATGAGGTGAGCCAAAACAAAGACTGTGTAGGCTTCCCTGTCCACTATGCAGATATTCTAGCCGCTGTTCAGAATCCCAGAACCTGTTCATGGCTGCGACATGAAAAGGTTCCCTCCACACTGGGTCATATACATCGAGCCATAGAACCTTTGCGGGACTGGTGAGTCAATTTTATTGGGCCCCTGCCCCAGAGCGGAGGGAAAAGGGATGTCTTAACCTGTGTGGCTATGACAATGAGGCTACCACAGGCCTTCCGTGTAAAACGTGCCACCCAACTGGAGACCATGAAGTGTCTCACCGCTCTTAGTGTCACGAATGGCATGCCTAAAAGGACAGATAGAGATCAGGGCCCCCTTTCATGGGCCATGATTTCCAGCACTGGGCATCAGAATAATCCATAGACTGGAGGTTCCACATCTCATGTAACCCACTGGGGCAGACCTCGGTGGAAGAGTGCCCTGCTAAAGACCCATATATGAGCACTGTCCCAGGATGGCTCTTTGAGGTCCTAGACTAAGAATCTCCCTGAAGCCGTGAAAACTTTGAATGAGTCACTCACTACCACGCATGGCTTCACTCCCTATGAATGTTGCCCAGGCTGGTCTCGAACTCCCGGCCTCAAGCGGTCCACCCATCTCAGCCACCCAAAGTGTTGAGATTACAGGTGTGAGCCACCACTCCCGGCCTGGGGTTGGCCTTTTCTATTAAGATGGGGGTGATGACTAGCATATTTATTTCTAATCCTTTCACATTAGGAGAGAGTGTAAGGCAATTACTCTGATAACAGTTTCTGTAAAAATAGTGAATAGGATAGTGAGGAAGATCAGGGAACTGATTAATACAGGAAGGGTATAAACCAGCATTTTTGGGGTATGGGCCTCATAGCTTATTTAGCTACCCTTAATATAGGGTAAGCTGCCCTTACTTATTAACCACCCTTACTATTGGACATGGTGTATCAGGTAGCATGGAGAATTTTGACTTCTTAGGAGTAGGTTCATTTCCTGTAATTCTAGAAATAGGAAGATTTAAACCTGTATAATTTACTCTATCAAAGTAACTCTTTTATCAGACGTATTTCCCATGTTTGTGGTTGAATAGTAGGTATTAGGACAGGTATTTAAACATTCTATATGCATAGGGCTAGCGTAAGGAATAGAAAGTTTTTTCACAGGAAGACGCATAAGTTTATCATATCAAACTCATGGGTCTGATGCCCTGATTCACAGAAACAGGGTTCTCAGTAGGAGAGTTTGGTAATGGAATTAATTGTATAGATTTTTGGTATAAAGACATCATGTAGTACTCCTGGAAATATAACAGTAGTTAGGACATTTATTATAATAATGTTAGTATATTCTGCTATGAAGAAACAGCCAGTGAACCTGCAGCATATTCAACATTGAAGCCGGGCCAGGCACAGTGGCTCACTGCCGTAATCCCAGCATTTTGGGAGGCTGATGCAGGTGGATCACGTGAGGTCAGGAGTTCGAGACCAGACCGATCAACATGGAGAAACCCTGTCTCTACTAAAAATACAAAAATCAGCCAGTTATGGTAGTGCATGCCTATAGTCCCAACTACTCAGGAGGCTAAGGCACACGAATCGCTTGAACCCAGAGGTGAAGGTTGCAGTGAGCTGAGATCGCACCACTGCACTCCAGCCTGGGTGACAGAGCAAGACTTTGTCTCAAAAAAAAAAAAAAAAAAATTAAATAAATAACTACGCTGAAGCCTGAGACTAGCTCTGAATCACATTCTGCCAGTCAAATGGGGCTCGGTTAGTTTCTGCTGGAGCTGAGATGAATTACATTATGGACAGAGGTCTTGATGGTAAAATCAATCATGCAGATTATTGTACAAGAATAAGAGATGATAAAGTGGATGACCAGCTTATCAAGGGGACTGATAAAAGAATAATTAATAGGTGGGGTGACTTCCTATGAGACTGTTTAGGCAGTATACAGGCTGAGCTACCAAGAGATGGTGAGGTATATCAGAGATTATCGAATATAGAACAGACGCCTCTCAAGGGCTATAAAGCATCACCATGTCCTTTGAGGTTCAAGCCATTGCTTGTAGTACTCTGGTAAATAATTTCGCTTATTAAATTATTTAAGTTGATGGCTAAGCACAGTGAAATATTTAGTCCCAGTTTGGGCCTTAGCTATCATGTTCTCAGGATACTAAAATCATTGTTGTGGTTTATTTTTATTTTACCTTGAGCTTTTCATGGCTCAGTTAAAGTTTAGTTTTCTTGTGAGAATTGCCTTAAACATGCTTAATGCTTGTTTTTATTAGTTTGGGTTAATTGTATGACTCCAGTAGCTGGCATGAAATTTACCCACCCTAATAGTTTAGTATAGCTTAGTCAAACTTTCATTTATTGCTTATTTTTTATCACTGCTGTTTCCCATAGGGGCGTGGTTGAGCAGTGTTAGGATGTGGAGCTGTGCACTTAGTACCTGTTCTGTTTGAAATTAGACAATCTGGAGGGCATTTTCACTGGACTCCAGATGCTTGCATGTGTAATCTTACTAAAACCCAATAAAAAGACCAGAACTATGCCTTGGTGTTTATGGAGTTACATGAACTAACCTAGGCATTTTCAGTGCCTTGTTTTAATATCATAAGCTACATTAACTCGGATCTAGACAATTGTCTCTCTGTTACAGAATGAAGGGTTGAAGTACTCTGCTAGTACTGGGGCAATATTTAGTAACTTTAGAAATAAAAAGTGGGATTTTTAGATTTTTAGCCCAGAAAGCCTGGTTTTTATTTTACAATCATGTGTTTTTGAAATTGGTTTAATTGAAAGTTTGGCTAAAATGTAATTGTAGTTGAGATTACAATTTGATTTGGAGTGTGAGCCCTGGCTGTCATTGATGGTATACGTATCTTGTTTTCGGGACTTGGTAAGAACAAACAATTTTTTCTGACATAATTAGGTTAGTCCAGGGAAAAGGGGGTAGGGGAGTTTGA